CTTGCTGCATCGTGCTCTCAGTTTTCACTGGCTGTTGCAGGAGTCCGTTCAGATTGAATCGTTGACCAGTTTACTCAACTAGATTACGCTCAGAGTCGGGTAAAAAAAAATCAAACGTTTGATATACTCTGACTGGTCTGAAACGCAATCAGGAGGCCAAACGTCCCTCGGAAACTACTCAGTATAAATAAAAGTGATGATGATGATGATGATGATGATGTTTTATATCTATATATGGGCTGGTAACTCTATTACAGTTATCAAAACCTGGATAAATTCCAAGACCTGTGAAATCACAACCGCAATTCGAAGTCAAGGCTGTGCGCGTTGCCATGGTAGCTAACAAAATTTTGTTCGCCAGTAATAGAGGGATGTCAGTCATGCACATTCATTAGACTATTAAGACCACGCCCAGACGGTTCTCAGAGAGGTCTGATGAGTGCCTTTGGTGATTTTTGAGGAGTGTTTTATCATATTTCTGCTTTGTGTTTTCTATTTAAACTTCGCTGAATGCTTCATATGACACCCTATACAAAAGAGTTCAATATATCAAAATGTTCCCACAGGCTTTAAGCCACATGTGTCAGGTTCCAGTACTGATGGGCCAAAACGCTGCAGACTTCAGCACACTGCCTCATTAAACACACCCAATTCAGCTCATCAGCTAATTAGCAAGGCCTTCATGAACTGAATTCAGAGCATTAGATGAGGGTAAATACTAATATCCAGAGCACTTTGGCTCAGAAGTTTGACATGCCTGCCTTCAGCAGTGAAATTGCAGCCAACACTCTGAGGCTCTGGAATTTGGCAGTATACTGAGGTAAGCCGCCATTGTGTTTAGCAGCAATTTAGCAGAGGTTTGATGACCAGCACACCGCATACGTGCTCCGCTATCTGTGACCATACGTCGTTCACACAGGGTCACACTGTGCCTTTGACAAACAGTCATCAGTGAGAGTCTTGTGTTTGCACGGGTAAATATTTACATCAACAGGAAGGTCATGAGGGATGTTTTGAAGCCCTGTGTGTCCTGTTGAGCAATGGTCAGAGACTCATCGCTATCAGCTCTTGAGTAATCTAGAGACATAAAGACGCCCCTATCCTTCAAACTGCTTGGGTTAAGGGTGCCATTGGCTCTGGACTTGAAACAGGATTGCATGATTTTTCAGCAACCCAGATTACTTAATCCAACCCAAAAGCCTAGTTTCTGTAATTAAAGTCAGCATGAAATCAAAACCGACCTTTTTGACCTCATTAGTTCACGTCCCTGGTGATATTAAGCATGATTCATTACATCATATTATCATATAAATGATATCACATCATATAAATCTAATAAATATCTGATTTTTGATTGTCACCATTCACCAACAAATTACATGATCTATAATTGTTTTTTTCTATCTATATTGCCTATATTTTATCTATTTAGCTATCAATCTGTCTGTGGTCTTTTCTGTACATTCGATGTGTTCTGGGCTTGTTAAGCCTTTGAAATGAATGTTTAAGTTATGAATTGGCAACTGTGTCCCTCACTTTCAAATGGCTGCAAAATGCCCCTGTTCCCAGTCACCATGTCACGGCACACTCTCAGAAAAAAAGGTAACACTTAGTGAAATAATTGTCTTGTTCCTATATTGTGTTCAAATACAATCTTTTTCTTTTTTTTTTCATTTTTCATGCCATCTAAATTGTGGGGACATTTTATGATGAATGGTCCAGAATTGGCTGATATTAAGTTCTGAACATTTTTCCCACTGGACACAGCCCAGGATTAGAAAACAGAACCAGATGCAGATCAAAAACTGCCCTTTCCTTGAGTCTCAGGTCAGATCTGATCTTACACTCTCAGAAATAAAGGTATGAAACTGTCACCGGGGCAGTACCACTCTTGTCACTGGGGTGGGACCCTCAAGGGTACATCTCAGAACCTTTAGTCAAGAAACATAACTGTACCATAATCCATTGAAATTATATTTTCTAAGTTGTGTTGACTCCACACCCCCGTCTCATCTCCAGGCTTTTCATTTTACTGTTCTGTTTTAAAACTTGAGGTTAAAAAAGGTAAAAATACATAATTTTCACCTGGAAAAACTTATTTAAGGTTCACAATTGGACCTTAAAACCACTGTTGTACCTTTGAGGGAACATTTACATTGTTCGTACCTGCACCTTTATTTCTAACAGTGTATGGAAAGAAAATGCATTTTGATTTCCTATTCATGTTGACTTTAGGCTATCCAGCTTACTTTTTCTGTTTTGTGAAATACCCCTCAAGATTTCAAGTTACCTGGAAAGCTGCTTTGCCACTTTTCCTTTGCATAGTATGACTCGACTTGACTTTACTAGCTGTTGGTACCAGCAACTTCATTTTCCACTGCAGACATAGTGACCCCTGAATGTAGCTGGTCGTCATAGTGATGCTGCTGAGATGTGAAGGAGACAAATTTTTGTTCAGAAGAGGCTGATATCAGCAAAATGTTATACTGCTGAAAAAACTGGAGAGTTTGGGAAAAACTACTTCAGAGTTTGGACGAGAAGATGATTCTGGTTGCTCAAAGGCAATGCAAGAGGCTATGCTAACCTGGCAGCTAGCAATAGCATATGTGTTTAGTGATTCTCTCCAACCAATCAGCGTTTTAACGTCACTTGGAACCTCAGCTCACTTGGAACCTCAGTGGAGGTGATACCAAAAATAGAACCCAGTACCTAGTACCAGGTACCAAACTGGCTTAGTGGAAAACAAAAAGAATCAAGCCAAGCTGGTACCATGCAGTAGAAAAGCGGCTTTTGTGTATAATATCCCAGGTTTTCAGATGAGCTAGGCCCATGGGCGTTTGTACCAGTTGTAGGTTTGGATGGCCCAGTGCTTCCACTGCCATTGTCCAAGGCTCAGTGAAGCTGCCACTGCATGTATTATTATATGTGATGACACATGGCTGATGGCTTCCAGTTTGACTGAAATCTGAGTAATGCTAATCAAGACAACAGGCTTTCGCTTTGCCATCAGATCGGGTCGTTAAAGTTCAGTGCTTACGTGCACCTACAAAGTCCACAACATTAGTGTGTCCTCATTTAACGTTGGGTACAGTGCCAGCAAAGGCCACAGTAATCGAGTAACTGAACCAGCAGGATACATAACAGGGCACAGTGTGTGCACAGTGAGGGGAAAACACAGCCCTGCGAGAGGAGCTCATGTTAAACACGTCAACTGTGTATGTGGATCCAGGCATTTACAGCAGGCAGGAATCACTCCAAGTAACAGGGCAGATTTCTGTGTTGCAAAAGAGACAGGCTTGAACAACAGCAACAACAACAACAGCACAAACACTATGAGTGAGGATGTTCAAGTAACCATAATTGCACTGGTACAGTAAAAAAGCTTCATGTTATGGCCAATTGAATAATTTCATTGAATACATTTTTATTTGTTTGTTTATTTTCAAATTCTGGTTGGTGTGATAATATACACCAATCAGGCATAACATTATGACCACCACTTACTATATAGGAGCACTTTGTAGTTCTACAGTTACAGACTGTAGTCCATCTGTTTCTCTGCATACTTTGTTAGCCCCCTTTTACCCTGTTCCTCCGTGGTCAGGACCCCCATGGACCCTCACAGAGCAGGTACTATTTGGGTGATGGATCATTCTCAGCACTGCAGTAACAGTGATGTGGTGGTGTGTTAGTGTGTGTTGTGCTGGTCTGAGTGGATCAGACACAGCAGTGCTGCTGGAGTTTTTAAACACCTTAGTGTCACTGCTGGACTGAGAATAGTCCACCAACCAAAACTATCCAGCCAACAGCGTCCTGTAGGCAGCGTTCTGTGACCACTGATGAAGGACTAGAGGATGACCAGCACAAACTGTGCAGCAGCAGATGAGCTATCGTCTCTGACTTTACATCTACAAGGTAGACTGACAAGGTAGGAGTGTCTGATAGAGTGGACAGTGAGTGGACACAGTGTTTAAAAACTCCAGCAGCACTGCTGTGTCTGATCCACTTGTACCAGCACAACACACACTAAAACACCACTATCACATCAGTGTTACTGCAGCACTGAGAATGATCCACCACCCAAATAGTACCTGCTCTGTGAGGGTCCATGGGGGTCCTGACCACGGAGGAACAGGGTAAAAGGGGGCTAACAAAGTATGCAGAGAAACAGATGGACTACAGTCTGTAACTGTAGAACTACAAAGTGCACCTATACAGTAAGTGGAGCTGATAAAATGGACAATGAGCGTAGAAACAAGTCATAATGTTATGCCTGATCTGTGTACATTAGGGGAGTTTTCAAACATGATTTGACCACAAATGAAAACAGGAGGTATATATAATTGGTTTCATGTAAAGTTGATTGAGTGCATTCATATGAATTTGTAATCATAGATGCTACACAGTTTCCCCAGAATAACAAAGCAACCTTAAAGATGTACAATAAACTTTAACCATTCATAAATTATGAGTCATCTCAAAGTAACAGTAAGGTCAGCATTACATAACTACATTCACTGGGAAGTACAGGGCAAGGCTAATTTTACACTCTGTATAACAGGGGTTACCAGCCCCCCTTTTGGAGATCTACTTTCCTGCAGAGTTTACCTCCAACCTGCACCTAACCACATCCCCCCCCACCACCACCACCTAACCCTAATGCATCTGATCCAGCCAATCAAAGACTTCTGAAGAAGTTAAAGCTAATTAGCTGGAGCAGGTGTGGCAGATTATGGCTGGAACTTGACCCCACAGAAAGGTAAATCTCCAGGACCAAGGTTGGTGACTGCTGGTGTAGAACCTTCACACTACATACATTTTTTAGAAACTTTTAAAAGGTTCTTCACACCCTCAGGTCTCATTTACAAAGATGGTTATTTAGGGAACCAAAAGTGGTTCTTCTTTGGCATCACTCCAAAAAACCCTTTTAGAGTGTAGATCAGCACTTGCTGTCCTGCCTTTGGTCACTCTGTAAACCCTTCCCTTTCCCCTCTAGCATCATGTACTTCCTGAACACTATCATAGAAGAGGATGAATCTGAGATGTTCCTGCAGAGATCTTTGCTTGGGCAACAGGATCCGGCTCAATCTTCACCGCAAGGTTGGGTTACCAGTTCTATTTTAGTTCATTAGATCAGTTACAGCTCTGTAAGTGACCTGAAATTCAGTTTATTATAGATATTCATCTAAACATTTTGAACGTTCTTAAGCAGATTTTGTTCATAGTCGTTAAACTCTTAAAAATACGGGTTCCAGATAGGGATCCAAGCATGATGCCACAGAAGAACCATTTTCGGTTCCCTTAAGAACCTTTCAACAGATGGTCCTTTAGTCATTTTTGTAAGTGGGATGTATGAGTTTGGTAAAACCTTCAAGTTTAAATAACCACTTAATATAAAAGTTACAGGAAGAACCTTTTAAATATGTATTGAGTCTTTAGATCAGTGGTCACCAACCCTGGTCTTGAAGATCTACCTTCCAGCAGAGTTTGAAACACAGTCAGTCACACCTGCTCTGGCTAATTAACTTTTTCAGGAGTCCCTGATTGGCTGGATCAGATACTTCAGTGTTAGATGGTGATGAGGGGGTGGGGTATATTAGTTGCAGGTTGGAACTAAACTCTGCGAGAAAGTAGATCTCCAGGAGCAAATTGGGGTCCACTGCCTTGATCTTAATTCCAATTCTGTTTGAGCTGTATTTGATTAAAAAGAGTACAAAAACATAGCATTTGATGTTTTACCTTACAAAGTTTTTGTTTTTTGTTTCCAAAAATATGATGCCTGCAACACATTCCAAAAAAGCTGGGACAGGTGTATGTTTGCCACTGTATTACATAATTTCCTTTCAATGAAACTTATTGTTTGGACACTTCATAAATGTGCCACACGTTTTCCAATCCAGGCAGGCCAGTCCAGCACCAGCGCACTCTGATTTTGCAGCCATGCTGTTTTAACATGTGCAGAATGTAGCTTTGCATTGTAATTTTGAAATAAGCATGGATATCCCTAAAAAAAAACATTGTCTTGAAGCACATTTTGCTCTAAAATGTGCATCTATCTTACAGCATTAATGGGTGCTTTCACAGATTTGCAAGTTACTCACTAAATCCTCCCATACTATGACAGATGCTGGCTTTGGAACTTTCCTCTTGTAACAATCTGCATGGTCCTTTTCTTCTTTGACCTGGAGAACACCATGTTCATTATTTCCATGAACAATCTGAAAGGTTGACTCATTAGACCACGAGTTTCCACTGTGCATCAGTCCATTTCCGATGAGCTTGAGAAGAAGTTGGCCCAGAGAAGTTGGCGGTGTTTCTGGAAGCTGTTGACATGACTTCCACTGTGCATAGTACAGTCTTAACTTGCATTTGTGGATGCAGTGATGAACAGTGTTTATTGATAATAGTATGGCAAAGTTTTCACCTAGCTAATGAAGTGATATCTATTACATGGCAGTTTTTAATGCAGTGCTGTCTCAGTTGTGGTTTTCAGTCTTGCTCTTTACAGACAGAGATTTCTCTAGATTCCCTGAATTTTCTGATATTATGCACTGTTGATGGTAAAATACCTAAAATCCTTGCAATCCTTGGCTGATAAACATTATCAATTTTCAAACTGTGATATATATATATATATATATATATATGCTGATGCATTTTTGGCAAGGTCTTGACCCATTTTTGCTCATATGTAGGACTAGGCCTTTTCTGGATGTACCTTTTAAACCCAAGCAGGATTGCGGCACTTGTTTAAGAGGATATGTTGCAGGCATCATTTTCAGAATGAGCAGATATTTCGATTTAAAAAAGTTAAGCTAAAACAACAGTTTTGTTTAAAACAGGACAAAGTGGATTTTTCTGTTTTTATTTGCATTTTATTTGCATTTACACAGCAGTGGATCACTTTTGGATATATTTCAGAAATTCAATTAAGCCTAAAATTAGATATTTTTATAATTGATTACAATTAATATTACAAAAATAATGCAGTTGAATCAAAACCTTCATATTAATGCATTATGATGCATTCATCATTTATTGCTCCTCTAATAGTTTCCTCACTCATCTATTAAATTTCTCTGATGTTGAATTGATCGACTTGACTCAACTCTACTTCACCAGCAGTCAGAAGGTCCCAGCGTTTGGCTGGTTCTGTGGATCGTGAGACTGACTCAACCCACTCAGAGGAACGAAAGAGCACAGGTAAGCCACAGAGACGAGGCAGCCGTCACTCCCTCACAGATTTGGCTACCGTGGCCCTGAGGGTACAAGCTGATCTGAGGAAACAATATGAGGAACCGGTTCGGAGACGGAGCTCCTCAACACCGAGAACATCCAGAAGCTTTTCGGGGACAACTTCCCCACCAACAGCACGAAGGGCTTCCAGGAGTCGCTCGATGGGACGGCTATCTGGACCTGTAGAAAGGACAAATGATGAATCAAAGGTAAAAACAGACTCTGTTCTTAGTTTCTGTAGATCTGTACACTAAAAATGTCATAAAATTCACACTCGACCTGAAAAGAGAGCACATACTTTTAAGGAAAACGATTACACAGGTAGGTTTTTTTTTACATGTGAGATACATTTCAAATACATTGTTTCATTCCAAAATGCCTTCTAAACACTAAAGTACTTTAAGCAATGTATGTGTGGGTATTTTGATTTTGAAGATAAACTTTATCAAAAAGATAACATAGAAGAAAAACTATAATATAAGAAAATAATATAAGAAAATGACATTTTATAAATGTGAACCATGTGTACAGTCATGCAAAAATTTAGGCACTCATCAAATTATGTTTTAACTTTTCACTGCAACATACTGGGGAAAAATAAGACAGAAAATATGGCCTGAGCAAAAGTTAATGGCTCATATTAAAACCAATTATTTTAAACCATACATTTTAGTTTTTTTTCCAATATGTTACACTCGGCAAATAATTAGAAACTGTTCACTAAAATTTACAGCAAAATGCTGTATTTAAGTGTGATCTCTGTAGAGGAAGTGTGATGGGGGAGATGAAACCTTTGCATGCGACTGCATGTGTGCTTTTTCTTTTGGTTTGTTTTAATCTTTTATCCATAACCATGGCAGTTTTTTAATTCCTAGAAGAGTGCCATTTATTTATTTATTTTTAAAGCTATATACATGGATTTCTTACTCTTAACTAAACATAATTATTCAAACTGGTATTTTATCTGTGAAAGGCAACTTCAGCAAAGAGGACTGATCCAACACATTCATCCAACAGAGTCAAACAACTCTCTTCTAAATCTTCTAAAAAGGAAGGAACAGTGCCAAAACCCCAACAACAACAACGTAGAAATACACGGAGAAAACCTGCACAGGTATGTAACATGACTGGATGTACAAATTATTACAATTTTTATCCTTTCTCTTATCAATGTGCAAGTGATGCACATTTTATCAAAGAAATCTGCAGGGATATTTTTTCCAAGCTTCTTGTAAAAAAACCTCCACAAACTACAAATGGTTTAAAGCGTGAGTTAACGAGTTAATGAATGAGTTAACGATAAAGTGGCTTTAGTAGCATCTTAAACCACATTTTATTCATTTTATTCAGACCATGCCTTCAACATGGTGGTGGTAGTATGAGGGAAGACTGATTGAGGGAGGTGGAGAAATCTGAGAACTTGGGTTGGAGTTCTGGGCAGCTTCTGCCTGTAGCTAGACGGCCACACGCCCCTCATAGCTGTACCAAGACTGATGTAGGACTGAGGGACAGGGAGGAGATGGGGGTGGGGGTAGAGATTGCGAACACTTCGTCACGGGAGCGGAAGGTGAAGATATGAATTATGGGGCGTATAGGAAGAAGGAGGGGTTTCAGTCATGTTCTTCCCACCGAAACATCAATTTTAACTTAACTATATAAAGACATGGTTTGATGAGTTTGTTGTGGAGGAAATCCAGTGGTCTACACAGAGCCCTGACCTCAACCCCACTGAACACCTCTGGCATGAGTTGGAATGCAAATTGTGAGCCAGGCCTTCTCGTCCAACGTCAGGGCCTTACCTCACAAATGCTCTTTTGAATGAATGGGCACAAATTCACCCAAACACACTCTTGTGGAAACCTTCCCATAAGAGTGGAAGCCCAAAAGAGTCCTTACTGTCCGTGGTTTTGGAGTGAGATGTCCAACAAGCTCATTTAGCTGTGATAATCAGGTACACTATATGGGCAAAGGTATGTTAGTTTAGTTTAGACCTGCTACTAGTCAGCGTATTATAGCAGTCAACATACCTACCGACATAATTACCTCTCAACCCATCATTAATATTATCGCCTTAAAAAGGTAAACATTTAGTGTGTTTACACTTATGCTGCAATGTTATGCTGCAATGTTGATCTTCAAGGTGCGTCACAGTTGGCGCACATCCACTTGTGTTGGGTAAGTGGGCCAAGAGCATCTGTGTGTCAAGGGCTACACAAACAAATGAAGCATAATCCCCAGTTACTAAAACAGGTACTAACCTAATAGTGCTGTGAGTAGTCATTAGTATTGTTTCATTCCTATCATCATCAAAACTATGTCTGACAACACCAGCTGCCCTTTATTTATTTATTTTTGTCTTAAAGTTACTGTTTTGGAGACAAGTTTTTGTTTAATTGGAGATTTTGGCTTTCTATGAATATTTGTCTTGTCTTAAGTACATAAGAGATCTGGCATAATCAAGTCTGATCAATAAAAAAACTGGTGCTTGTTTGATATTAGGCTCAAGCTTTGATGTGAAACCTGACCATTTGGGTTTATATCTCAAACCAAGTTAATCTGTGAAAGCTCTCTTGCAGGATGATTTTCCTGCCCCTCAGTGGGTGATCAACCTGATGATTGACATTGAAGAAGCAACGCAGCACAAGCTGACTGTGGAGTGAAGACCATGTAGATGAAAAGAAGGGAATATTTTAAAAATAAAGGGAAATCCAGGCCTTGTCTTTCACAGACACTTTCATTTGTATTTTATATTCTTCAAAGACTAAAACATAAAAGTGTAAAGTAAAACCGGTCAAATGACTGGTGGCAACGGCTGCTAAACAAAAACCATAAACTTAAAGTAAAATATTATAATTCAAAAAAAGTACAAAAACAATAATTTTACAGAATTTTTCAACAAAGGCTTTGCAGATAAACTGTTATTTTAGATTTTTCCTGAAATATTATGATCAATAACCTTCAATAAAGTAATGACACAAAGTTCTACAGATAAAAACTGTAAAAATATTAAAAATATTACAAACTCCTTCAATAAAGTAATAGCATTAGAAAAGTTCTGCAGAGAAACATATTTTACATTTTTATCCTGAATTATTACAAACACCTTTTAATAAACAAAAGGTATGTAAAAAAAAAAAATAAAAATTCTGCAGAGAAACACTTATTTCACACTTTTTTGGCTGCATTTGCCTTTTTGCAAAAACTGACTGGACAGGCACAGAATATCTCATGTCCATCAAATACAAGTGTTGTCAAGAAAAGTTTGGGCTTTATTGAAAAACACAACCATAGCTTAGCTAATTTACCACCACTCACTTAAATCAAAAACAAACTGCTCTTAGTGCCACATGACTCAGGAAAATTAGGCAATATAAATGGGTTAATATCTTAATACTAACATTCAGTTCCATCCATGGCAACCTAAATCCTAAAAGAAGTGGTTAGCAGGTTAGCACTGACCAGTTCCAGTCTGCTGTTTACAGGCCTAGAGAGAGAAATCCTTCTTGTTTTCCAGACATCATGCGTGATGAACTGTTTTTCTTCAATCTTGCACAATCTCTTCCCATAAGGGGGTGTATTGTTACTCATTTGCTCACTATATGTAAATATGTCATTCACAAGAAAGCATTGACCTTAAGTGGCCCTGCCAGCTATCAGTCCTTCAAACCACCTATACCCAATAAAGGAGACTTCCAGGGTCCCAAACCCAGAGCGTAAAACCACAAAAGTGTCGTTGGGGTTATCACTACAAAGTTTGTACATGATAGGTGACATGAATACTACACCAGCAGGTCAGTAATTACCACCTCTGACAAACATGTTATGATGGAAGGAAACCTCTGAAGGATCCATTCTGTTGAGCAACGGGCAGATAACCTTGTTTTTGTGACCCATCTTATGGATGAGAGTCCAATGTCTGAGGCATAAACGTCAGTTAGGAAGTTGCGTTTCAGTTGCCATTTCATCAGAAACGCCCACCACTTTGTACTTTCAGCTCCATCTAACTCATCTGTCAATGGAAAGGAAACGCCTTAGGACCACCAATGACCAGATTAGACCGGCCACTTTATTTGAAGCTCCATCTTGCTGGTTTACAGTTAGAGATTGTAGCCCATCTGTTGATGCACAGTCTGCATCGTCCATCCTCTCGCACTTCATCAGTGGTCAGTTTCTGACCACAGAGACACTCTTGGCTAGATATTTCTGGGTGGCTGTCCATTCGAAACCTAGCAGTGACACTGACAAGTGGGCGAATTGTGACTACTACAGCTAGACATCAACACATTTGACCTTGTATATAGCTGTTTTACAGTGAGTTTTACAGTGACCTTCAATAAAGTGTCCCACCATAGAGTTGCCTCTGCTGTTTTCCACTGTCCACTCTATTAGACACTCCTACCTTGTAGATGTAAAGTCAGAGACGATAGCTCATCTGCTGCTGCACAGTTTGTGTTGGTCATCCTTCATCAGTGGTCACAGGACGCTGCCCACTGGACGCTGTTGGCTGGATATTTTTGGTTGGTGGACTATTCTCAGTCCAGCAGTGACACTGAGGTGTTTAAAAACTCCAGCAGCACTGCTGTGTCTGATCCACTCGGACCAGCACAACACACATTAACACATCACCACATCACTGTTACTGCAGTGCTGAGAATGACGCACCACCCAAATTGGTGGGACTACAGTCTGTAACTGTAGAACTACAAAGTGCTCCTATATAGTAAGTGGAGCTGATAAAAAGGACAATGAGTGTAGAAACAAGGAGGAGGTCATAATGTTATGCCAGATCGCTGTACTTAGATACAATGGAGGAAAAAATACTGATTGGATACTTTTTCATTGGGCATTTCCAACATTTTAACCCCAATCATTTAAAATGTTTCTCATTTTCACAAAAATCATTAGGCCTATTAGGCCCTGAGGGCTCCACATTGTTTTCATGTAAAAATGAAATAATAACGTTAGTACAGTGGTTGCATAAATACATCAAACACACATTATCTAAACCGATTTGTCCTCCTGGGTCGCAGAGGGTACAGAAACCTATTCCAGCGGTCACTGGGCAGAAGGCAGGAAACACCCTGGACAGGCCGCCTGTCCATCACAGACATAGACATATACGCTCATACCTAGGGCCAATTTAGCATCTCCAGTTCAACTGACCGCATGTCTTTGGACTGTAGGAGGGAGCAGGAGCACCCAGAGGAAACCCTCACAGACACAGGGAGAACATGAAAACTCCACAAGGAAAAAACTCTGGTTGCCCGGCCAGGGAATCAAACCCAGGCCCTTATTGCGGTGAGGCGGCTAAGCTCTGTGCCACCGTGCCGCCCATCAATCGCCATGATTGTATAAAATAAAATGAACTAAGAAATCTTTAGGCTTTTTCTGAATGCCAATACCACAAACTACATAAAATCTAGTCAGCACCGGTCCTGTGGTCAGAAACTGACCGATGATGAATGGGATAGAGGGGGGCTGAAACAGATGGGCTAAGGTCTGTAACTTTAAACCTATATAATATAAACATACATTATCATGTCAGAGCTGAAGACTATAGTAGGCCAAATTATGTTTGTGCACAGAAAGGAAGTTCCAAAGGCCAAACGGGGCCAAGGAGGGGTTTGTTATGAGGGTCAGGAGGGGTAGAGGGGGGGTTGCAGCAGGTTGCCTCCTCTTCAAGCTAAACATTCACCAGCAGTTCAAACGCTCGTTTTACGCAAATCTGCGCGCGACCATCCACAGCTGTGTTTGGAGTCTTTACTGCAGGAGCCAAACATCAAGGGGTCAAACATTAACCCCCCTGCACTGTATAAAAGCTCCGCGCGCGCCGTGGAGGTCAGAAAAGCCCTCGAGCTCGGACCATAACCTCGCTTTCACAGCCTTCCTCCCACCTTCACTTCCTCGGCATTTTGGAACCATGCTCGTGCTCGTGCTCGCGCTCGCGCTCTCGTGCCTCCTCGTGCCCGTGCGTTCTTCTCCGGTCGCGCCTCCTCCTCCGCCTCTGCCGATCCGCTGCGCGCCGTGCACGGCGCAGCAGCTGAGCGCGTGTCCGCCCGTGCCTGCGCGCTGCCCAGAGGTGCTGCGCGAGCCGGGTTGCGGCTGCTGTCTGGCGTGCGCGCTCTCGCGGGGGGACGCGTGTGGCGTGCACACTGCGCCCTGCGGCTCGGGCCTGCGCTGCGTCCCGCGCGCCGGAGACCCACAGCCTCTGCACTCGCTCACGCGCGGCCAGGGCGTGTGCGCGGAGCAGGAAGAGAAGCGGGAGGAGGAGCGCGGCTCGCAGCAGGACGCTGAAACGCTGATGCTGAAACACAACACCGTCCCCACGGAGGAGTCCGATCAGGACTCCCTGCACGCGCTCCTAGGAATGAGCAGCGCGCTGGACCCCGAGACGCACGACGCCATACGGGCCAAAGCGAACGCCATCCTCAAGAAGCTCGTGCAGCTGGTGAGCAATAATAATAATATACACATAATATCTTTGTGGTCACATAATAATAATAATATACACATAATATCTTGTGGTAATATATATAGTATAGTATATATGTAACAGTATATCTCATATATATAACAAACATGTTTGTTTGTGCATTAATTTAGGTAATTAGTTTATTTAATATTTTACGTTAGTTAATAATTTACATTTTTTGTAGAGAATACTTTGCTTGCGATCAGACAAAAATAATGAGTGAGGAAGAGCAACTCACCTACAAACTCAACCAATTGCTAAACTAACTACCTACCACTAGAGGGCGCACTTATAACACTCACCTGAGCCTGCTCTATTCTCAGTGCACTTTAACCACAAACGCTTCGTGATTAAACCTATCCTCCACTAGAGGGCGCACTTATAACACTCACATGTGCTCTATTCTCAGTGTATTTATCCCACAAACGCAGCCTAATCTGCCAGCCCTGTAATCACCCCTGTCCAACAATAGGGGGCACTTTTATAACGCTTACCCAAGTCTGCTTCAGATTTCTTACTCATTGCTGAGGTCTTTAGGACGGTGTTTATTAACCTCAGTCTTCTTCTTCATCCCAGACTTTTGCTTCATTCAATTACATTTTATCCTTATCACACTTTTTTACAACAGCCATTGTCCCAAAGCAGCTTTACTCAGCTCCATCATTAAGGGGTCTGGACCTGCTTTTCTGACTGAAGCTGCTTTGGGATTATGCATGCTGTAAAAAGCACCACATACATGAGGCTGAAATGAATGTTAGGGTGATGTGTCTGATGGCTGATGCAGTCTGTCGTTGCTCCTCAGGGTCCCTGTCACACTCAGCTACACACTGCTTTGGACACCATCGCCGCCTCTCAGCAGGCCTTAGGAGAGAAGTTCACGTCATTCTACCTTCCGAACTGTGACAAGCACGGCTTCTACAAGGCCAAGCAGGTGAGCTTCGATGTTGAAAGTCAAATGTACATAGCTTCCCCAAATATAGTCTATCAGACATGTTTGGTGTCTAAAGTTTGCTTCCTTAGTTTTACACTGAAGCTATAAGGCTAACATAGCTATCAAGTAATAGAAGCTTAGCATCACCAGTTGGATGTAAACTGCTGGTTAAGTTGTTAAATAGTCTCAAATAGACTTGCTTAAGTGGCACTAATATTAATATTATAATACGATTTATATATATATATATACATATATTAAACTATTACAAAATACATGCAAAGTAAAAACAAATGTGGACACCAATGATAACACAGATGAATATCTACAAAGACATGTTTTATGAAGAGGTTAAAAGACTTCAATATATTTGCTGCTTGAATGCCATACAGTAGCTAATCCTGCATGACGTGCAGCAGCGCCCACTGAACGAAGCCTGCTCTTGGACGCTACTAACAGTACACTGCTGGATGAATGAGTGGAGCGAGACACTGGATAACATGCTGTTCTCTAAAAAAATGGACAAAACTCTGAACGAAAGATTCAGGCTTCAAGATGCTACCACTGTTTTCAGCCATGCTGCATACTTTTCTCCATCTTTATAGATAACAGTGCTTCAGACAGTGACAGAAACCACATAAGCAAGTCTATTCGAGATTCCTGAATAATTCCAGGGGCGAAACTAGAGAGGCAGTAGGGGGAACTGCGTCAGGGCCCATTCCGCAGTGGGGCTTGCAGCCCCCTGAAACCATTTTTAAATGGATCCTTTACAAACTAGATCATGATATATTCATTATTTATCACTCTCAAGTACTAAATATCTAGTCCTCTGTGAACATTAAGGTTAGCATTTGATGCTAATGGGTACCTAGAGAGCAGTAGCTTGTTT